CTCCCAACAGACACCCGTGAAGTAGGCGGGGCTGAGAGAGCTCTGACTGACCCAAGGTCACCCGGCTGGCTTTACGCGAAGGAGTGGGGGATCAAAACCATTCTCCAGACCTGAGTCCGCCGCTCTTAACCACGACACCACACTGGAGGTTCGCTGGGTGATCTCAAGCCAGTCACACCCTCTCAGCCTCATCTTCTTCACAGGATTACGATAAAGCAGAGAAGAGGGGAACAATGGCTTCCCTTGGGGTATAAATGAAGGAGATTGGATTTATACCCCGCCCTTCAATACCCAAAGGAGTCTCAGAGCGGCTGACAATCCCTTTCCTTTCCCCTCCCCACAACAGACACCCTGTGAGGCAGCTGACGCTGAGAGAGCTCTCTACAGAACTGCCCTTGAGAGAACGGCTCTGAAAGAACTTGCAACTGACCCAAGGTCACACCAGCAGCTGCATGCGGAGGAGTGGGGAATCAAACCCAGTTCTCCCAGATTAGAGTCCGCACGCTCTTAACCACTACACGAAATGACATAAACCTTTTAAAAAAAAATTCATACATCACTCTTTTCTCTGTTTCATTAAAGGAACTTGAAGATCTTCTGCCTGCCAGACCAGAAGTCCCCAACATAATTAGTGAGGCAGAGGAAGTAGATCTTCAAGAATTCGATGCCACCCGTGGCTCAGGGGGCGGCCAGAGGCGCGAAGCTTACAACGACAGCTCGGACGAGGAGAGCGGCCATCATGGACCTGGGGTTCAGTGTGCCCATCAGTAAAGGAAAAAAGTTTTGTCCAGGGTGGGTTGGGGGGAAGTTACACATGGATTTTTCTCTTCGAATTTTGCCTGACCTGTTTTCAGCAATCCAGTTGGGTTGTATAAAAATAAAGCAATCCACACGAACCCCAAAATGGACATCTCTTGCTGTATGTGTAACTTTTAAATTGGTCCATAGTATCTACAGAGTGTATAATTTAAACTAACCACGAAAGCTTACATCTTCATTTTTTTTTTTTTTGACTGTTCTGTAGCAGAAATAAAGGCACTTGAACGGAAGACGAGGCTCCTTCTCACCTGGGTTAAGTTTCAGTCCTTGTACTTGTGCTTGATTTTTACCAGTTTTGTGTAGATTTTAAGTTCCATATTTTAAGAAAAAAAGAAATTCAGATTCTACATTGTAAAGGTTTCTTGTGTAAAACTTTGTCCCGAAGCTTGGTATTTGGCTGCACCTGCGTAAGCTGCTACAAAAATAGACTTAAAAGAAAAACTTCATAGCCTGTATCTATCACTCTAGATGCATGGTAAGTAAACGGGCTTTGCACACTGTGGGTTAGAACGGACGGGGGAAGAACCATGGGAGACAAAATTGGAAGCTGTTGTAAAAGTCTTTTACCATCTTGTGGAAGGTTTCTGAAACGAAATAAAAGCCGTTGGTGTATGATAACCCTGCCTCCTATCTTCCTCCTTTTGTTAAATCCGTGCCTTAAAAATGTAGTGGTGGGGGCTGCAAATTGGATGGATCAGAAGGGGGGGGGGGGGCAAGGCGGGGCCTCGCGGGGGGGCCACATGTCACTGCCAATGTTCCCTCTAAGCTGTCGAGTCTTGTGAGCAGAAATTCTACTTTGTGAGCTACTGGCATTAAAATTGTGAGCAAGCAATTTGGCTACTGCATAAATTAGTTTGCTCTGTAGCTGTCCTTCCTGAGCTAAGACAAAAATGTGTGAGCCGGAGGCTAAAGAAATGTGAGCTAGCTCACACTAGCTCAGCTTAGAGGGAACACTGGCGGCCGGCATCTGCGTACCCTGAGGTAGGGCAGCAGCTGGGACGGGGGTCTTCTCCAGCAAATCCTTGGATTGGAGACCTCCTTGGAATACCAGCAGTTGGGAGGTGGGGGCAGGCTTTATTCAGCCTCCTCTGCACCTGCCACCCCTCAGGGGCCCTGGGCTGGATGGGAAGTCGTGGGACCTTGCCAGAAACTCAGGGGGCCTAGCCCCGAGAGGCCCCACTGTAGCTATGGGCCTGCAGCAGCTGCACGTTGGAGGATCAAACCCAGTTCTCCAGATTAGAGTCCACACTCCTAACCACTACACCAAACTGGAAGACAGCTAACAGAATTCAAACAGGCTTTGGCAGATGAAAAGGTGATCCTTTTCTGGTCACCACACCTTAAAAAGGATATTATAGCTTTGGAAAAAGTGCAGAAAAGGGCAACTCAAATGATGAAAGGGTTGGAACACTTCCCCTATGAGGAAAGGTTAAAGCGCTTAGGGCTCTTTAGCTTGGAGAAACGACGACTGAGGGGTGACATGATCGAGGTTTATAAGATTATGCATGGGAAAGAGCAGGTAGAGAAAGGTACTTTTCTCCCCTTCTCACAATACAAGAACTCGTGGGCACTCCATGAAACTGCTGAGCGGTCAGGTTAGAATGGATAAAAGGAAGTACTTCTTCACCCAAAGAGTGATTAACACTTGGAATTCACTGCCACAGGAAGTGGTGGCGGCTACAAACACGGACAGCTTCAAAAGGGAACTGGATAGACATATGGAGCAGAGGTCCATCAGTAGCTATTAGCCACAAGGTATAGATAGGAACTCTCGGTCTGGGACAAGGGATGCTCTGTATTCTTGGTGCTTGAGGGGGGGCAACAGTGGGAGGTCTTCTAGTGTCCTGGCCCCACTGGCGGACCTCCTGATGGCACCTGGTATTTTTGGCCACTGTGACAGAGTGCTGCAAGCATGGACGGCTTCAAAAGGGAATTAGATAAGCATATGGAGCAGAGGTCCATCAGTGGCTATTAGCTACAAGGTATAGATAGGGGCTCTGGGGCAAGTGATGCTCTGTCATCTTGGTGCTTGGGGGGGGGTCAACAGTGGGAGGGCTTCTAATGTCCTGGCTCCACTGGTGGACCTCCTGATGGTACTGGTATTTCTGGCCACTGTGTGACACAGAGTGTTGGGACTGGATGGGCCTTTGGCCTGATCCAACATTGGCGTCTCTTATGTTCTTGTGTTAACTGGGGCGAAATACAAAGACCCGAATGCAATTGTGGTGCAGCCCACCAAGCTAAATTTTCCATCTCAACTGTAAACAAGACATAGCCACACCACTGGCTAAAGATACAGGAATCCTGCACAGGCTTGGAAGATAAGTCCACTGCTTTTGCCGCTGGCAAGGATCTATTAATAACCTCCAGTTGCTTAGGGACTGAGCAATCTTAATGGAAACATCCCTTGAGCAAAGCGCCAGTTAAGACCTCGGCCATCCGCCAGCACCCACTAACCTGCTCTGCCGTCTCTCTAGCAAACATGACATCATCCAGCAACTGGGTCGCCTGGGGACAGCCCCCAGATCAACCGGGACACACACTGTGCCAGCAGAGTTCCCTCACGTCCCACATACAGCAATCGCCATCGGCACTTCACGGCACTTTGTATGTGTACTGTTGTTACGTGGATTTTATAGCATTGCACTTACGCATCTGCGTTTTATTGCATTCTAACCTGTTGTACGCCGCCTTGAGCCTGCCTGCGCAGGAAAGGCAGGCGATAAATCGAAAGTAATAAATAAATAAATATCTGACCCAAGTCTTTAAAAAGGGTAAAGGTCAAGTTCTTTTCTTTAGAAAATCTTCAGTTGCAGCAAAATAAACACACACGGTAAGCTTTGTCTGGTGTAGCGGTTAGGCGCGCGGACTCTGATCTGGGAGAACCGGGCTTGATTCCCCACTCCTCCACTTGCAGCTGCTGGATGACCTTGGGCAAGCCATAGTTCTGTCAGAGCTGTTCTCTCAAGGGCAGTTCTGGAAAGAGCTCTCTTGGCCCCACCTACTTCATAGGGTGTCTGTTGTGGGGAGGGGCAAGGAAAGGAGTTGGTAAGCCGCTCTGAGACTCTGAGTGAAGGGCGGGGTATAAATCCATTCTCTTCTTCTTTGAGGAAAAGGCAGGTTGGGATGGGCAGAGGACAGCTGTAATCAATCATGAAAATTACTGTCCGACTAGGAACTAGTAGTGTTGCCAGTACCAGGCTGGGAAATAACTGGAGATTTTGGGGGTGGAGCCTGAGGAGGGCGGGGCTTGGGAAGGGGAGGTGCCTCTGCAGGGTATAATGCCATAGAGTCCACCCTCCAAAGCAGCCATTTTCTCCAGGGGAACTGAGCTCTGTTGTCAGATCAGTTATAATCCTAGGAGTTCTCCAGCCACCACCGGGAGGCTGACCCTGGCAAGTACTTGGATGGGAGACTGCCAAGGAATACCAGGGCTCCGGATGCAGAGGCAGGCAATCAAAGGCCCCTCTCTGAAACGTCTGAGCCCACTAGGGGCCACCAGAAGCCAGCCATGACTTCCAGGCATACACACACACACACAAAAATATCCCGCCAATAAAACTTTTCATATTTGATTGTATGAAGTCTTATTACACACCACCATTTATTTTCCTGTATCATTCCAAGACCTTGGAATCCCACTGCATTTGAACCATCGCAAGTGGCAACTGTTGACTGTTTGCCGATAGCGTAGTATGTCCCTTAAGAGACCTTTAGGTTGCGTCTGAACAAGCGTCTAAATAAGCACCATTCATGAATTGTCAAGACAGCACATGATTAGCCCTGACCTGGATAGGCCAAGCAAGGCCGATCTCATCAGATCTCGGAAGCTAAGCAGGGTCGACTCTGGCAAGGACTTGGATGGGAGACCTCCTTGGAATACCAGCAGTCGGGAGGCGGGGGCAGGCTTTATTCAGCCTCCTCTCTGAATATCCTCCAGGCCCGCAGTAGGGATCAGTCACCAGAGGTTGTCATGACCTGCAGGTGGCTCACACACACACACACGAAAAATACAAAAAAGAAAAAGAAAAGAAAGCACATGAAAAGAAACAGAAAGCATTAAGACACAGCTCCACGGACATCAACACCAGTAATAAGGCCACAGCCACATAGGACTAGGGCAGTGCCATCTTGACCTGATCCAGCCTATTCTATTGACTGCAGAACAAACACCTCACTCAAGATGAGCGATTTGTGTGCAACAGGGGCAATTTTTTTGGTACCACACCATCTTCGTACAAGCATCCACACCAAAGTCAGTTCTATGCATGAATACAAGGTTTATTATGTAACGTACATGCCATTAAAAAACCCAAGGAGAAAGGGTTGTCCATCCCATTACATATGAGAGAATCACAGAGACTGAAGTTATCCAAGACGCTCCCATGCAAAGTCGGAAAGGGTTACTGGGAGATCCCATCAGCTTGGCTTAACTGTTGCTTTTCCACATAAGACTGTCAACTGGTTCTAAGGAATAAGCAAAACAGAAAGCATTAAGTAACGGGTCAACTTTCTAAACTATCCCTGAACGTTACACCTGTTTATCATGCATAGTCAGTCTGAAAAATAAAACCACTTTCTGGACTTCAGCTTTAAGTAGAAGCAAACGCATTGCAATTGGTTTTGTGGCTGAGTATTAACCATCATAGAGGCCGCGGTGGCTCAGAGGTTGCAGACCGGAAGGTCAGTAGTTCAGCAGTTCGAGACCTGAGTGCCGTGTGACAGAGTGAGCTCCCGTCTCTGGCCCCAGCTCCTGCCAACCTAGCAGTTTGAAAGCAAGAAATTACAAGTAGATAAATAGGTACCGCTTCGGTGGGAAGGTTAACAGCATTCCGTGTGCCTCGGCGTTTAGTCATGCCGGCCACATGACCACGGAAATGTCTTCGGACAACGCTGGCTCTTCGGCTTGGAAACGGAGATGAGCAGCACCCCCTAGAGTTGGATTTGACTGGCTTTCGAGCAAGGGAGACCTTTACCTTTCCTTATTCATCCCCATACAAATAAGTGCGTTCTAGATCAAATCAAGTCTGAATTCTCCCCAGAAGCTAAAAAGGCCAAACTGAGGCTATTGTACTTTGGTCACATTATGAGAACGCAAGATTCATTGGAAAAGCCAATAATGCTAGAAAAAGTTGAGGGCAGCAGCAGGTAAAGAGGAAGACCCAGCACAAGATGAATTAACGCTATTAAGGAAGCCGCGGCCTTCAGTTTGTAAGCCTTGAAGAAGGCCGTTTACGGCAGGATATTTTGGAGGTCATTAATTCATACGGTTCTCATAAGTCAGAAGGCACTTGATGGCCCTTAACACTCTTTAACCACCATTCTTCCAGCATTTATAGTACAAAGCATAGAACGCCCAACTCCTGCCAGGGGTCATGGCCCAGTGGCAGAGCATCTGCTTGGCATGCAGAAGGTCCCAGGTTCAATCCCCGGCATCCCCACTTAAAAGGATCAGGCAGTAGGTGATGTGGAAGACCTCTGCTTGAGACCCTAGAGAGCCCCTGCCAGTCTGGGTAGACAATGCTGACCTTGATGGACCAAGAATATAAGCCAGCTTCATGTGTGTTCTGTGTTCACATGCCAACAAATCTAGATTTGTGATAAGTCTTTCAAGGATGAGCTACACTGGATTGCTGCTGCTTTGGTTTTGACTGGGGGGAGTCCAATTTTTGAAGACAGACATTCAACAGACACACTTTTGTTGTGGAAGGAGCCAGCTAATTCATACTTACCACTAGAGTATGAATATGTTGGACAGTGTCGTCATTTAACAAATCCATGTTGATGTTCTGGAGGTCGTGGTTTGCCGAACAGAGAGTCTGCACAAGAGGAGAAAGGAACCAGCTGGGTCCAGCAATGCCAGTGGAAGGTGCTGACCGTCGTCTCCCCCTCCTTCAGCAGTCCCTTCTAACCCCAAGAAAATTGATCCCTGGGGTCATAAAACCTGTGTATCTATTAGTCCACACGCAGGTGCATTGACCCCAGAAATGAACTTCCAGTTTGGTGTAGTGGGTAGACTCTAATCTGGGAGAACTGGGGTTGATTCCCCACTCCTCCATATGTAGCTGCTGGTGTGACCTTGGGTCAGTCATAAGTTCTTTCTGAGCTGTTCTCTCAAGAGCAGTCCTCAAAAGAGCTCTCTCAGCCCCACCTGAACTGAAGAAGAAGAAGGGATTAGATCTATACCCCGCCCTTCACTACCCGAAGGAGTCTCAGTGCGGCTTACAAACTCCTTTCCCTCCCCCTCCCCACAACAGACAGGTAAAAGAAGAATAAGAGATTGGACTTATACCCTGCCCTTCACTACCCGAAGGAGTCTCAGAGCGGCTTACAAACTCCTTTCCCTCCCCCTCCCCACAACAGACACCCTGTGAGGTAGGTGGGGTTGAGAGAGCTCTGACAGAAACTGCTCTTGAGAGAGCTCTGACAGAAACTGCTCTTGAGAGAACAGCTCAGAAAAAACTTATGACTGACCCAAGGTCATCCAGCAGCTGCAAGTGGAGGGGTGGGGAAATCAAACCGGGTTCTCTTAGATTAGAATCCGCACTAGAATCCGCACACTTAACCACTGCACCAAACTGGCTCCAAGTCGCCTTGACAGAAGACAAAAGAACTTTGCCTTAACTATGCAGGTTTCCTTATACTGAGTTTCAGACACAGCCTGGATTTCATTTTTACAGCCCATAACTCAGGCTATCGTGATCTCATCAGATCTCAGAACCTAAGCAGGGTTGGGCCTGGTCAGTATTTGGATGGGAAACCACTAAGGAAGTCCAGGGTCATTACGCAGAACCAGGCAATGGCAAACCACCTCTGAATGTCTCTTGAAAACCCTACAGAGTCCCCGTAAGTCACTTTGCACCAGTGTTCAACAGCCCCAGAACGATACCTGCCCATCAGCCAGAGGTATGTTGACGAAAGGGACTGCTTTCTCGTGCGGCATGGAAGCGCTTCTTAGAGTCGCACCAAAGGCTCTTCCTGAAGCAGATGCGCTGTTGGAGAGGCCCCTCTGGGGAAGTCTAGGGTTAAGGAAGAAGAGGAAGCTGTCCTGGTACTGCCGATGTAAAAAGAAGCTACCGATAGGCTAATCTTGTGAACCGCTGCTCCAGTGCGAAATGAGATTTCTGGTTCCTAGCGAACCACCAAATATGAAAAGTCTGCCGATACTAAAAAATATACAGATGAAAGAAACAGACCCACCATCAAGTTCAGATATGTCATCTGGATTTTGTGCACGGACACCGCACTTGTGGAAGCGATACAAGCACATTCCCGTCACATGTTCAGATCCCTTGACCAACCACTCAGAAACAAGTAGTGTAGAATGGCTGGTACTGGACTGGGATTGGGGTGACCACAATTCAAACCAATCATGCATCTCACCGGGTAATCCAACTCCCTGTCTTTCTTATTGACTTACTTTATACAACACCTTTCACCTCCAACAAGAAGCCAAAGTGCCTTACGTAGTTCTTTTCTCCATTTTATCTTCACAACAATCCTGTGAGGTAGGTTTGGCTGTGTGACCAGCCCAAGATCACCCAGTGAACTCCCACAGCAGAGTGGCGATTCGAACCTGGTCCTCTCACGTCCTAGTCCTAACCATTACACCATTAATGTTCCCTCCTGTTGCAAGGCTTACATGAACGTCTGCACCATCCTCACCCACAGGTCCTTGAGAGAAGGATTCAATGGGGTGATATAAAAATCAGTAAACAAACCCAGGAAGCGTGGTCAGTATCGTCATCCCAACACTACAGGAAAGGGAACTGTAGGGCAGCTACTGGCTTAAAGCTGCCTTGCAAATTTTTAGCCAAGATGATAGTTGACTCAAAGACTTCCTGGAAACCAAGCTCAAACTCTTGGACACTACCAACTCCTGTTAAGTTGGACTATAAGTTTGATGTAGCTAGTTGATACATCGAGGAAGAGGAGGAGGAAGAGATTGGATTTATACCCCGCCCTTCACTCGGAATCTCAGAGCGGCTTACAAACTCCTTTCCCTTCCCCTCCCCACAACAGACACCCTGTGAGGTAGGTGGGGCCGAGCGAACTCTGACAGAAACTGCTCTTTTTCAAGGACAGCTCTGACAGAGCTATGGCGTGCCCAAGGTCACCCAGCAGCTGCAAGTGGTGGAGTGGGGAATCAAACCCAGTTCTTCAAGATTAGAGTCCGCACACTTAACCACTACACCAATTATTCCTTCCCAGAGACCACCTCCCTTTCCCCTTCCCTTAAAACTCATTGCTTTTATCATCTCCTTCCTTTAAGTATCTCATGGTAACTTAAATGTGGCTCATCTGAATTTACCTCCAAGATTTAACCCAGAGAGATGACTTCAAGGCCATCTGGATAGGGTGTAGGACAAGGACCGGTGATGACCGGGTTTGAATCCCTCACTCATAAGAACCTAAGAGAAGCCATATTGGATCAGGCCAATGGCCAATACAGTCCAACACTCTGTGTCACACAGTGGCCACAACCCAGGTGCCATCAGGAGGCCCACCAGCAGGGCCACTCGACCACGGAAGCCCACCAGGTGACCTTGGGCCCATCACAATCTCTCAGCCTCACTGACCCTCACAAGGTTGCTGTTGTGGGGATTAAGTGGGAGGGGGGACTATGTGAAAATCCACTTTTGAGTCCCTGATCAAGGAAAAAAGTGGGACATAAACACATTAGAATGGATAAAAGTAAGTATTTCTTCACCCAAAGAGTGATTAACACATGGAATTCACTGCCACAGGAGGTGGTGGCTGCTACAAGCATGGACGGCTTCAAGAGGGAACTGGATAGACATATGGAGCAGAGGTCCATCAGTAGCTATTAGCCACAAGGTATAGATAGGGACTCTCGGTCTGGGGCAAGGGATACACTGTATTCTTGGTGCTTGAGGGGGGGCAACAGTGGGAGGTCTTCTAGTGACCTGGCCCCACTGGTGGACCTCCTGATGGCACCTGGTATTTTTGGCCACTGTGTCACAGAGTGCTGGACCGGATGGGTCACTGGCCTGATCCAACATTGGCTTCTCTTGTGTTCTTATCAATAAAAACCAAAACAATCTTGTGAGCTTTTGCAGCCAAGTAGGGATTGAATCTAAAGCTCAGTCCCATGTACTTCATTAACGGGTTCAAAGAAAGAGTTGCCTATGCGGAAGTCCAAGCAACTAGTCTTCTATCACAGGTAAAAAAGAACCTGAGAACAAAACTCAGAAAGTGGCAAGGCTTACCTCCTGGAGCCCACTGGGGTGCACTTAGGGGCAGACGCTGACCGTTCGAGCTTGCAGGGCTTGTCAGGGTTTCTCGCATTTGGAGTGGAGCATGCAGACCTGCCCAAGGTGGATCAAGGAAGAAGAAGAAAAAAGTGACACACAAGATTACCACAATAGTCACTGACAGGTTTTTGGATCTAGAGCTTCCTCTGACACCTGCTCCTGCACAAATCTTCCAGTAGGCAGAAGTCTACCACCATCAGGCTGACAGCTACAAGAAGCAGGGCCTTTTTGGTGGTGACTTGGACCAAAGGATTGCACTGCTAGTTTTACAACGGCTGTCATTCCCACGTGGCTACACCTATAACCCTCCACTTTGTAGGGCTACACTTTGGAAGAGCAACACATTTAAATGAATGCAGTTCTAAGAAATAAGAACGTAACACAGCCAAAGTTTAACACTTTGAATGCCAGAGGTGCCAACGGGAGAGGTATTTGGGCACCCAAACCGAGGGGACTAACATTTAACTTTGGCTGGATTTGGTCACGGAGTTTTGTTTCAACTCGGCAGTATGCAAGTCCTCCGCTATCCCACAAAACTGTGGTTTTGCAAGTTGATGCATTTTCTCATCTCAGCTAAACCTATTTTAAGGCCTTGAATGAAGGACAACAGAAAAGCAGGAACATCTCGCTCTTACCGGGAAGTACTCTGTTTGCCTTTAAAGGCAGAAGTCAAGGAAGCCAGTGACTTGGTTTTCACAACCTGGAGGAAAGAGTAAGCAATAAAACTGAATTGTGGAGCAAAGACCGGGAAGGCCCAAGCTAACCCCATCTCAGAAGCCCAGAGTCGCTACAAAAAGGCAGGCAATGGCAAAACCCCCTCTGTTCGTCTCGTGCCTTGAAAGCCCTACAGGTCACCATACGTTGGCTGCTACTTGACGGCACTTTCCACCACATGAGCACCAAGAATTCCAAGTTACCCTGGTTCTTGTGGAAGCCACCCATTCCGTGATGCCTGGCCCAGTTCCACTGCAGCAAGCTTCCGTATCATTCCCCGAACTACTGAATCATCTTATGTTCCAACACACGGTCTTCGCCCAAGATGTAGACAGCATGCGCAGAATTCACTAGTATAGCCACAAAGCAAGCATGAGCCATCATCCCACACAAGGTTGGTATGCGTGCACCCTTTGCACACAGTGTGAGCTCTAGGACTGTGGATGAGGGGTACCCTCACCTGACCCCTGAACCTAGAGAACATTAGGTGCTTCATACAGCTTTAGACTTTCTTGGGCATGTTGGGGATTATTAGGAAAGGGACTGACAATAAAGAGGGCGAGATTGTTCATAGATGGCATCTGACCCCTCTACATTTACACATTTTACCCTCATATAGCCCCAGTGGTTGGGAGGGCAGTTTGGGCAGCCTACCCCGAAAATAAGACATTGTCTTATACTTATTTTTTCTCAAGAAGACACACTAGGGCTTATTTTCAGGGGATGTCTTATTTTTATTAAGTATAATACAACAATCTACATTTATTCAAATACAGTTAAGTCATCTTCTTCTGGAACATCGTCATAACTCTCATCACTAGGTCTTATTATCGGGGTAGGCTGCACAGAAATCCTGCTAGGGCTTATTTTTTGGGTAGGTCTTATTTTCGGGGAAACAGGGTACATTCACTGCTGGTGGATGTGCCCTTTTATGGCGCAGTATTAGACCATTATTCTTAAACTGATATGTGATATTACTAGGCACAGTAGCCATATGAGGCCAGAATTTGTCTTCTGGAAGAGGACAGAGGTTTCTGCTGTCAGGAAAGATCTCATTTCTTATATCCTGGTGGCAGCCAAGACTTTAGTGGCTAGGCATTAGAAAAGCAGTATACAACTCCCATCGAATATGTGGTTCAATAAGTCATGGACAAAATACCAGATGTTATTTCCTTGGCGGAGAATCTGGACTTTCCTTCGGACTATTTGGAACGTTGGTTCCCTTTTCTTGAATATATGGAAAGACACAGTAAGCTTAAAAGGGTACTTCCTGATAATTTGAAGGTTCTAGCTATATATTGAATCGCTGTTTGGTTGTACTGCTCTTGTGTTTTTTGTGTTTGTAATTATGTTGTTACTAGGAAAAAGGCCCGTTGTGGAAATAAATACAACGGCCTCTAGAAAGAGGCTCTGGGCAGGTGTCCCGGCCTTGGACACTCAGTGTCAATTTGCTGTGGCGACCTCAGCAGGGTATAATGACACTGAATCCACCCTTTTCACCCTGATCTCTGCTACCTAAAGAACAGTTGTAATTTTTAGTGATCTCCAGCCCTCACCTGGAGATTGGCAATGATGATTCCCCAGAAGGGAATAGTTGGTTTGGAGGGTGGAGTCTATGGCTTTGTACCTGTCCGAGGTCCCACGCCTCCTGAAACCTCACCCTCTCCAGGCTCCATCCCTCACATCTCCAGGAATTTCCCACCTGGAGTTGGCAACCCTATCTCCTTCCCAGCCAATCATCAACCTACCTTTATTTCCCCCTCACTCTTCAGCTTTCCACCCCCCACACACCTGCAGCCTCTCCCGTGCTCTGAAGCCCTGACTGCTACGTCACATTGGCTGTCATACGGGGGCCACCTCAGCAGCATATAAGGATACAGAGCCCACCATTTTCTCCAGGGGAACTGACCTCTGCCATCTGGAAAGCAGTTGTAATTCTGAGTGATCTCCAGCCCTCACCTGGAGTTTGGACACATTTTACCTCAGAACAGCAAAACTGTTTAGAATGTTAGAGGCAAAAGCCAATCAAGTCGCATATGCAAACGACCTCTGTGTTCCGAGGCAGAGGCCAATGAGGCTGCATATGCAAATAACCTCTGTGTTCTGACTGGCTATGTGGGGGGGGGGGGGGGATTAGCAAAATGTTTAGAATGTTGGAGGCAGGACTCGGGCAAAGCAGCCAGTGGATAGGGAGACCCTCTGAATGACAGATCAGAGAGCGAACTGATTTTGGAGCGTGCGGAATGTTCTAGAGAAGTGCCACCACCATTCGGCTTTTATTTATAAGGGAGATTGTTGTAATTTCCTAACAGTTGTTATATTATATAAATAAAAGATTATTGGGGGGGGGACAGGTTATATTATAATGCCCCTGTATAGACCCGCAGTGAGGCCTCATTTGCAATACAGTGTGCAGTTCTGGTGACTATATCTCAAAAAGGACACCGCAGAGCTGGAAATAGTACAGAAGAGGGCAACCAAGATTAGTGGGTTGGAGCACCTTCCCTACAAGGAAAGGCTGAAGAGTCTGGGACTTTGCAGTTAAAAAAAAAAAGATACAACGGGGGATGATACGAGATTTATAAAACTATGCACAGGGTGGAGAAGGTTGAAAAAGAGAACGTTTCCTCCCTCTCCCAAAAGACTAGAACTCAAGGGCATCCAATGAAGCTGTCAGGCAGTAGATTCAGGAGGGACAAAAGGAAATACTTATACAAGTGATTAAAAAGGGGAATTCGCTGCCAAAGGATATAGTGAGGGTCACAGGAATAGATGGCTTGAAAAGGGGATTGGACAGATTCACGGAGGAAATGTCTAGCAGTGGCTACCAGCTACACTGACTAACGGGAACCTCCACATTCAGAGGCAGTCAACGTCTGAATCCCAGTGCCAGGAGGCGACAGGGGAAGGCCTCAGCCTCTCAGCCCTACAGTTGGGCCCTCCAGAGGAACTGACTGGCCACTGTGTGAGGCAGGATGCTGGCCTAGATGGACCACTGGTCACATCCAGCAGGGCTCTTCTTATGTTCTTATGAAGGTCGCGGCCTCTCTGCCCTGTTGTTGGCCCTTCGGAGGAACTGGTTGGTCACTGTGTGAAGCAGGATGCTGGCCTAGATGGACCCCTGGTCTGATCCAGCAGGGCTCTTATATTCTTATGAAGGCCTCGATCTCTATGCCCTGGTATTGGCCCTTCAGAGGAACTGGTTGGCCACTGTGTGAGACAGGATGATGGCCTAGATGGACCCCTGGTCTGATCCAGCAGGGCTCTTATATTCTTATGAAGGTGTGAGAAGGGAGAATCTTTCCCTCCACACCCCCAGACACTCTTTTCAAGTGCTCACCCCCCCACACACACTGAAGCAACCCCAGCTTTCAGACATATTCTTATTTTATTGCAAACGCGTGGCCATGGAAAGATGCACTCTCTAGTTCTTTTCCAACTCTGGGCATATCTGTTAATCTCTATAGAAACAACCAATGAGACCAAAAATCTGCCCAAGAAATCAGACACTTTGGAGGGGAGGCAGCAAAGATGGCACCCCTCCACCCTTTGCACAAAGCAAATGCACGTCAAACTTGCATCGCCCTCTTCTCCCAAGGGTCATATAAACAAAACATTGGAAAACCAGGGTGAAGCAACAGTCAAGAGAACTAGATGAGGACTGGGGAGACCCCAATTCAAGTCCCCACGCAGCCATGATGCTCACTGGGTGATCTTGGGCCAGACGCACTCTCAGCCACACCTGCCGAGGAGCTTTTCTAGGGTAGCATCCAAGTGGCAGAACCACATACTGGCCCTGAGCTCCTGGGAGCAAGGACCAGATTTCATTTTTTTAAAAACTAGTCAATACTTTCTCATCAGCAAGACAGAGACAGTTCTAAAAGACAAGGTCTCCCCCAACCAAACCCACGCAAAACACCCCTTTCCGGACTCACTTTTTGCGACGTCTTCTTTGCCTGCGATCCGTGCTTCCCTTTTGCATCTTCATATTCCACAATTGTGGTGACCTTCACTAGAAGAAGCGTTTCGCAGAGCGTCATTAAGCACTTGGCGCGCCAAGTTCCCTCTAAGCTGAGTTAGTGTGAGCTAGCTCACAGTTTTTTAGCCTCCAGCTCACACATTTTTGTCTCAGCTCAGGAAGGATGGCTCCAGAGCAAACTAATTTATGCAGTGGCCAAATCGCTCACTCACAACTTTAATGCCAGTAGCTCACAAAGTAGAATTTTTGCTCACAAGACGCCACAGCTTAGAGGGAACGTTGGCCGCCAACCATCTCTCAAAGATTTGCTGGGACATTCTAGCTTGGATTGAGAAAGCCACGTGGCATTCTACCTCACCAACAAGCTTTACAGACACCCCCGCCACAACGGCCGAGAAGTCACTCCAAAAGGGTCAAGGAATCTTCAAGAGTGGCATGCAGTCTGATGTTGGTGGTGGTGGTGGTGGGGGGAGAAAGGATATATGTTCAAGAAAATGCTCAAGAAAAGCACTTTCTGCTCACCCAAGCTGATCCATGCCATGGAATCAGGTACAAAACCACTCTCTTCTAGAGCTTAGTTCCCACCACCACCACCACCACCAGAGCTCAGGACAGAAGAAGAAAAAGAAGAAGAGATTGGATTTATACCCCACCCTTCACTCGGAGTCTCAGAGCGGCTTACAAACTCCTTCCCCTTCCCCTCCCCACAACAGACACCCTGTGAGGTGGGTGGGGCTGAGAGAACTCTGACACAAACTGCTCTTTTTCAAGGACAGCTGTGACAGAGCTTGTGACTGACCCAAGGTCACATCAGCAGGTGCAAGTGGAGGAGTGGGGAATCAAACCCGGTTCTCCCAGATTAGAGTCCATGCACTTAACCACTACACCATTTGGCTAAATGAACAACATGCGCCCAGTAGTGCACTCATTTTATGTGCAGAACAATGGAAGCAGCCGTGCTACAAGATTTTAGCAGAGCTCTTAAGAAGAGCAGGGATCTGACTTTGTAAATTGATTTACACCGTGTAATCCACCTTAAGTCACACTTAGAAAGGCAGACAGTCAATCAAATCAATGGCGGCTTTGCACATATAGTCATTAGATGCCTCAGAAGCATTATAATAGATTCCCACTAGCTATACTTTTAAGAAAAGTGCGTGAAAGAGCTACTTCCTGTTCTCAGCAGCCAATCCCCACCAAGACAGAGCCAGCAAGGTATAGTGGTCAGGATGTTGGACTAGCATAATGGAGACTCAGGTTGAAGGGCGATTCTGCATCTAGCATTCGCTCCACATTTTCTCAACTGGGAGGAAAAAGTGCAGCTCAAAACCACAAATACCTCGGGGCAATGCCCTACGGACTGCAAAGTCACCCCTGAACGGCCATAAATCTATGCAGAAGGTACCATAAAACGTGATGGTCAAAGGAAGTGACCGCAGCCTGCAATGCAGAGGGGGAATTTCTGTTCCAACCTGGGTTTCGTAAAACAACGGAGGGAAAAACCAATGCAGAATCACCTGAAACCCCCACTCTGCCCTGGAAGCTTGCTGGGGGGTGACCTTGGACCAGTGACTGCCTCAGCCTAGCCTACCTCACAGGGTTGTTGTGAGGCTAAAATGGAGGAGAGGAGAAATGATGGAAGCTGCTTCAGGCCCCCATCAGGGAGAAAGGCAGGGGACAAATGATGGAAAGAAACAAGCGCTCCAAGCGTCAAAGACACGCACTCCATTGGCATCGCCACCCTCAAGAACAAAGTAGAACGTGTTCAGCGGCAGAAAAAGACAGTCAAGAAATAAAAAAGTTTACAGTGGAGGAATTCAAGGTTTCGTCTTACAGCGGCTGTCTAGAAGAGGGAGTGGCATCTTTAAGCAAGGCCCCAACCGCAGACATAGTCTGAATAATGCAGCAAATCACTTGGGGGAACTTCCGGAATAATCCCCCCCCAAAAAATTGGCAAGACAACCAGAAGAGCCTTTATTGGGCATAGTCAGCATCCTCCCAAGTGCATCTGCGGCAAAGACGCATCAGCCTCCAGGGCTGCCTCCTTCACCAATCACCGTATGGCATTGAGTGTAGGATAGCCAGGAGATCCTAAGATTGTCTGGCAGCTTCAAGTTCTAACTCTTTCAGCATTACGCACCACTAGGTGGCGAGCTAGACTTATTTCGGGGGACTGAGAGAGAGCTCTGAGAGCCGCGACTGACCCAAGGTCACCCAGCTGGCTTCATGTGCAGGAGGGCAGAATCGAACCCGGTTCTCCAGATGAGAGTCCCCCGCTATTAACCACGACACCATGCTGGCTCTCTTCGAAGCATTCCCTCTTCTAAGCATGGAGATCGGCTCACCTCGTTTGCTGGCTGACCGCACCAGCTTGGGGGTGGGCCCTTCTCCCACCGAGCAGTCGTTCTGCGGCGTAGACAGGTGGGGGGGCAAAAGAAAAAAGAAAGAGAAGAGGCTGAGACTTCCATCTTAGCCTGTTATTCAAATCTTTCCAGTGCCTCTACTGCAGACTCAGCTTGATGCACCGTAGCGGTTTAAAGGCAGACTGACAATTAGAGATGTAACATTTCTGACATTTTGAAGCTCGGAAAAAACACTGGGTTTTTTCCGGGTTTTTTCAGGAAAAAACCGAAATTTTCAGAAAAATTGGAAAAAAATGCTACATTAGCATTTCTTTTGTCTTTTCTAGATTGAAAGTCATTCTGTTACTTTAGGAACATAAAATATGACTATGGACATTTTTACTTGGCATGAAATTATCACAACTAGCATATTAAAAATATAGTGTATCCAAACAATTATTACAAACAGAATACCCACCCACATGCAAGAACAAAACTGAAACTTTTTAATTTTCTTCTGACAATCGCACCTCCTAAAGGAAGAAACGCATCTTGTTCTTGCATTGGAGAGTTCAGTTTGTAACCTAGGACTTGCTTGTCCTCAGTGCACAGAAATTAGATCAATCTGATAACATATATATATATATATATTTTAGAAATGATTTGGAAAATATTTGAACACCTTGTCTTAAAATATTTTATTCATCATGTTAAAATAAAACATTCCATAATCATTTTTTTTCCTTTTCTTTTTTCAATTTTTCCAATTTTTCAGAAAAAAACAAAAAGGCTTTTCCGGGCCTTCACATCTCTACTGACAATCAGGGTGGGGTTCAACACATGACTTTAAAAGCTGTGCCACGAATGAGCTCACCAACCCAGCTACCCAAAGGCGCACCGGGATCCCAGTTCCGTGAACCCAAACAGCCGCTACATGAAAGAAAACTTACAGCTGTCACTGCAGCCACAACTGTGGCTGCTGCTTCGTCTTCCTTCAGATCTGCGATATAGAGATAAGACCATCAGACCAAGGTCCCGGGTTGCAGATGCATAAAAATCAGCTGCTTCTTCTAGCAATCTTTCCTGCTTTACTAAAACAGGAGTCTGGCAGTAACTTGAAGAAGAAGAGACTGGATTTATACCCCTGGAACCTCTCAGCATACTAAGCAAATGCTCTACCAACTGATACACAGTCCCAACTTCACACATGAAACTGCCTTATACAGATATAGGGGTATCCCCTATAGGGACAGAACCTGCAATTGTCTCTATAGTGAACCTGATTCAGTTGCTCATATCCTTCTACGCTGTCCCCAATACTCTACCATGCGCAGCTATTTGATCAGTCCCCACTTACCTTCCACAAGGAATTCGACTGACAATGATCTTCAAATTCTATTGTCTGATAAGTTCTCGGCAATTTCCCTGTCTGTTGCTGAATTCTTAGCTTCTGTTTGGAAGCGAAGGGTAAGGGCGCATAAGTCTTAATCCCCCTTGTGCTCATTTGGATTGTTATATTTTTTAACTGAGTTCACTATTCTTGAGAAGTTTAAAAATGATCCCCTGTTGGTGTAACTTGATGTAACTTGTTATGATCTATTAATTCGTTCTATTAATTTATTTGTTCCATTGCCTTCCTTATTGTTCCTGTGTTATGCCAATAAAGGTCTATGTATATGTATATAAGATGCTGAACTGCAGGCTGTGGAAGGTCGGTAGTTCAGCAGTTCGAGACCTGGGTTGCCGCATGACGGAGTGAGCTCCCGTCTCTAGTTCCAGCTCCTGCCAACCTAGCAGTTCGAAAGCAAGAAATTGCAAGTAGATAAATAGGTACCACTTCGGTGGGAAGGGAACAGCGTTCTGTGCGCCTCGGTGTTTAGTCATGCCGGCCACATGACCACGGAAACGTCTTCGGACAGCGCTGGCTCTTCGGCTTTGAAACGGAGATGAGCACCGCAACCCTAGAGTCGGACTTGACTGGCTTTCGAGCAAGGGAACCTTTACCTTTACTTTATATGTATATGTAAAACTGCCTTATACTGAATCAGGCCACTGGTCCTACTCAAGACTGGCTGCAGCTCTACGGGGTCCTCAGGCGGAGGTCTTTCACATCACCTACTGCCATTCCTGAGCCTTTTAACTGGAGGTACTGGGGGACTGAAACAGAGACCTTCTGCCTTCCAAGAAGATGCTCTACCCCTGAGCCACGGCCCCTCCTCGTCATGAAGCCGCCCTATCCTGAATCAGCCATTGGGTCCACAGAGCCAGTATTGTCTACTCAGACTGGCAGCTGCTCTCCTGGGTCTCAGACAGAGAGGTCTTTCACATCACCTGCCATCTATCAGAACTTTATTCTTAGTTGTCACTCTTTAACTATATACTATTACTCTCACTCCTTATATCGCTTAATGTTACATTGTTTTATATTACTCTTTAGTTCAGGGGTGCATTTAGATTACCCCTATCATGTATATCTTAGCCTGTTATTCAAATCATTTTTATTGTTAACTCAACGTTTCTTTTAATAAAAATTGTAAGTAATTAAAAAAAAAAAAAGAACTCGAACCTGGGCCTTCCGCATGCCACTGCTGAGCCACGCCCCTTCTCCCTTCACCAATTTTGTCCACGCCTGCTCAGGAGTAAGACCCACCAAGGTCAAAGGCGCTTCCTCCAGAGTAAGCTGGCCCCTACCCCGAGGGAAGCCCCCACCCCACTCGGCTCCCCTTACTCCCGAGTAAGCCCAGCCCGGCACTCAACTGATCAGGTCCTTCCTCCTCATTTCCCGCATGACCACCGGCCTGGTCAGGAGCTCCACGCGGAAGGCCTTCTCGGCCGTCTGCAGGAGGGACTCCAGGTCTTGCTTCATGGCTCGGAGGTGCTCCTTCGCTGCGGGGGGGACAAAAGCAACGGGCGGAGACGGTCAAAAGAGAAGCCATGCGCAAGCTGGAACGAGGCCCCTTCCGTGCACTCTGCGGGCGCATTTGTGCCATTGCGCGCAGGAAACCCCAGTTGCAGAGTGGACTTAAAGGACATGATTCAACATGGGAGAAAGCGTCCCGTCACCAGTGTTCCCTCTAAGCTGAATGAGTGTGAGCCAGCTCACAGTTTTTCAGCCTCCGGCTCACACATTTTTTTTCTTAGCTCAGGAAGGACGGCTCCAGAGCAAACTAATTTATGCAGTAGCCAAACTGCTCACTCACAACTTTAATGCCAGGAGCTCACAAAGTAGGATTTTTGCTCAAACTGCTCTCGCAACCTTAATGCCAGCAGCTCACGAAGTACAATTTTTGCTCAAACTGCTCTCGCAACTTTAATGCCAGCAGCTCACAAAGTAGGATTTTTTGCTCAAACTGCTCTCGCAACCTTAATGCCAGCAGCTCACGAAGTAGGATTTTTGCTCACAAACACTCCACAGCTTAGAGGGCGCATTGCCCGTAGCGGCGCCCAAAGAGACAAGTCTTGACCTAGACGCCGCAAGCGCTCCATGTCTCCAAACGCGGGGGCCCCGATTCCGCAGCCCCAACAGCCTCCGCCCTCCTCCTCCTCACCCTGCTGGTCGAAATCCCGGAGAAACAGACTGATCCGCTCGTCCCGCTGCTCTTTGCTCAGGAGGCTCCGATCCGGCACCACTCCGGAGTCGCCGCTGCGCTTCTCGGCCCCGGAGTAATACTTCTTCAGCGCCATGGCGGACCCACGCGCAGGCAGAAGGCGGGCGAGGGGAGGCATTTATCGGGAACCCCGCCCCGGGGAAGAGGCGAGGCGGGCCGAAGGCCGGTCCCGCCCTCTCCAGGGGAGGGGGGGAGGAATATTTGAGGTGGGGGCATTGGCTGGAGGGAACTCTCTTTCTTGGGGGCTGCCAACCTCCAGGTGGGACCTGGAGATCACCCGGAATTACGACTGGTCTGGTCTCCAGTCCAGACTACAGAGATCAGTTCCCCCGGGAGGAAATGACTGCTTTGGAGGGTGGGCTCTGTGGCATTATGCCCTGCGGAGGAGGTCCCGCCCTAATCTCCCCCCCCCCCTTTATCCACCCCTAAATCGCAGAGGAGGTCCTGCCCTAAATTCCCTCCCCCTTTCATCCACCCCTAAATCTCCAGGGATTTCTTAACTCAAAGCTGGCAACGGAATGGATACCACTAAAGATTTTTGAAAGGGAGCAAACCGGGAGGTGGGGGGGAGAGGGCCTCTCACAATTTCCACCTTTTCTGGCTGGTGATCTCCTGTGACTTTAAAAGGGGAGTGACAGGGCCACAATCCATCAGGTCTAGCACTCCCCAGTGGTTCTCAACCCCTGGAAAAAGAAGAGGAGATTGGATTTATACCCCGCCCTTCACTACCCAAAGGAGGCTTACAAACTCCTTTCCCTTCCCCTCCCCACAACAGACACTCTGTGAGGTGGGTGGGGCTAAGAGAGTTCTTGACAGAAACTGCTCTTTTTCAAGAACAGCTCTTATCAGAACTACGGCTTGCCCAAGGTCATCCAGCCAGGTGCAAGTGGAGGAGTGGGAATCAAACCCGGAGACAACTGATATGCATGGTCCAGTTCAGATGAAGACCTTTGAAATGACTGGATAGTACAAAAAATGTCATCAACTCAAGTGTTTTGGACCTCTCTTCCATTTGTATTTTTCACACAATTTTGAAATGTATCATTCACACACACAGTATTGTTTTTGCATTGTTTAGCACATATACATTGCTTTTTTTCTCTTGTTTTCTGGATATTATGAGCTGTGATTCTCTAGTCTTGTACCTGTATAATTTGAATATGGCACAGATCTCGGAAGCTAAGCAGGGGTGGCACTTCGAAGGGAGACCCACCAAGGAAGACTCTGCAGAGGAAGACAATGGCAAACCACCTCTGCTTCTCACTTGCCTTGGAAGCCCTGCGCTGGGGTCACTCTTAAGTCGGCTATGACTTGTACCACGACCTCCACTCCACCAGAGGTCTCCCATTGTATTTTTCACACTATTTTGAAATGTATCATTATTCACAAACATAGTATCGTTTTTGCATTGTTTAGCACGTGTACATGGCTTTTTTCCTCTTGTTCTCTGGATATTATGAGCCGTGATTCTCTAGTCTTGTAGCTGTATAATTTGAATATGGCGCAGATCTCGGAAACTAAGCAGGGGTGGTACTTCGAAGGGAGACCCACCAAGGAAGACTCTGCAGAGGAAGACAATGGCAAACCACCTCTGCTTCTCACTTGCCTTGGAAGCCCTGCGCTGGGGTCACTCTTAAGTCGGCTATGACTTGTACCACGACCTCCACTCCACCAGAGGTCTCCCCTCTGCAGCAGTCTGCAGTTGTAGCTCTATGGTCCATCGTGGCATAACACAGAAGGTAGGAAGGGGGTCGGCTGTAAATAGAGTTGCCAGCCTCCAGGTGGGGCCTGGAGATCTCCCGCTTTTACAACTGATCTCCAGCTGACAGAGATCAGCTCCCCTGGAGAAAATGGCTGCTTTGGAGGGTGGACTCTATGGCACTGTACCATGCTGAGGCCCCTCCCCTCCCCAAAACCCCACCCTCTACCAGCTCCACCCCCAAAGTCCCCAGGTATTTTCCAATCCAGACCTGGCAACCCTAGCTGTAAAATATGCACCCACGGGAGTCTGTTAAAACTCATCCCCGGGAGACTTTGCACTGCCACAAGTTGTTTTCAATAGCTTTTATTTATTTTGTAGATACATTTAAAAAGTCATCCAAATACAGTATGAGGAGCACCTGTAGGAAATTCGTACCTACGAGCATGCATCACGATAGCGGTCTTACTCGAGATCTGAACATAAAAGGTCATGAAAGACAGACAAATCAGTTTCTTAGGTCGCAATCCTCAAACTCGTCCGTTTGTAGAAATGTCCATCCAAGTTAATTCCAGAACAGGATTTCTGAGGGCAGCCGCCTCAGTTCAAGCACAACAGAATTGAAACGCAAACTCATTACAGTACATACAAATGTTGTCAATCAACTAGAACACGACTGCCATGTTCAAAGAAACGCAGAGAACTCCCCACCCCCAATCGTACATTCTCCTTTGCAGTACCAGAAACCAAAAGGCACCGTAATAAGACAGTTTACAAATGCAACCAAAAGTAGGGCAGCGTTCCTTGCCTTTGACAAAGTAAGTTTTAAGGATTGCTGCCCTATTTTTAAGACAGAAGGAGAAAGGGGAAAAAAAAAACCTTTTAAAACACCCGCAAAAGTATTATTTAGAAACATGTAAACCTCTTGCATTGTTTTCAGGAACATCGGGTGTAAACACAAGGTTCGATACAAAACCCACTGGCTTGTTAAGAATTCAAATTCTACCCCCACAACTCCCAATGGAAAAAATCTCTACTTACAAAAAATATAAAAATAATATACGAACTGCCATTTTGAGCGCAGGGGATTTGGTTGCGCCTCCACGTTCAACACGGCAGCTTCTCCCAAGCAAAGCTGGATTTGAGGAAAAAAGTGCAATTTGAGAATTCTTACAGAAACCCCCCCAGGTTGGACACGGTTTCTTTCAGCCTTCCGCTGCTCCAGAGTTACTTAACGCTTACAAAACCGTGGAAGTGCAGAATGTTGCGAATCCAGGTGTTTCCATCAAAGGGCAGGCTTTTCTGCCGCTCTTGTCCCCGTGAGGTGTGAACGGGATAAGCAGGTTGAGAGCTGACAAGTTGACAAGCCCTACAGGCGAAACTACAAAGTCTGATCCTGCGGCTCCCAATATTTGACACTGGACGGTTGTGTCTGCTGTTGTCCCTCGTCAGGTTGGGTGGCTTGGTTGGTTTCTTGGAACTCTGTGCCTGGTCTGCAGCCAAGTAAGGACAGTGGCCTGTCATTTTCAACCAAAGGACTGGTCTAATTCATCCAGGAGAACCATTCACTTGTCTGAGAACATGGGCTGGTACCAAGAACAGGTACAAATACTAAGCCAAGAAGATGTACCAGATGTCACGTACTTTCACCTTTATCATAAAGTTAACCCCAACTGGCTCGATCATGGAGGACTCCTGGCTACAACAACAATAGGGTGCACTGACTACCGAGCGGTAAAACCTACTCTGGTTAGCAGTGTTGAAGGCCCGTTTGCCACCACTAACTAGAACACATTACGGAATCCGATGCGATTCTGCATCCCGGGCAAACGTCATTGGGTTTGCAATGATGCTCGCTGGCGAGAGGGAAGCCAGAATTCTTTAGCTCCATGTGACAGGCTGGTTTGCACCGTCCCGCCAGAAATCCCACGGCCTCTCCGAAAGGGAAAAGCATCAAGAGGTAATAGGTTAACGTCTGTTGCTAAGCATCCAACATGGTGTGGGTAGAATGAAGACTACAGCTCTGCTAAGGGAGGCTGTTTAGCCAGACAGTATTGTACCGCTACCCGGAAAAATGGCCCCCTTCTGCCTGGCTATGACCCGTCAACCTCGGGTGGTATTTGTGGGGCTGTCTGATATCTTTCTCCTAGCACCAGTGTTTGGTATACAGCCCATAGGAATCCAATGTCGGCAATCTCTTGGACTCAGATGGATGCCAGTTAACAGCGCTCTCTTCCCTGGCATGACTCGTCTACTCTGGGACTAGTTTCTAAAGCTGCACAGAGCCAGACGCAAGAGGAAAGCATGAATCTGATTATTTCCGTTCTCCTCTTACTTCACGGCCCTTAATTCCCACCCCCCTCCTTGCTCCTAACCAGATGATTTGGCATTATTCGTTTCCATGCAAAGTCCCTGGATATTTATTATTCTCATGCTGAGCCAACCAAGCCCACATTAGAAAGGCAGAATTCAACAGACAGAGAATAATTTTGGCAACTTCTTGAATCCCCCTCCCCAAAAAAAGAAATGTGATGCATGTTTCTCTTGAGGCTTTACAGGATGTCAATGGGCCTGATCCACCATGAATTTCTGCCCAAGACTCTCTCAAGAAAGTCAGTTACTTAAGAGCTCACGCAGACACTATTTCAGCTGAGTTAGCTTTCACGTAAGACAGAAAGGCATGGTGTTTCTCTATAGAAGGTAGGTTTTTTCCTTTAAAGTACGGAAAGGTGTTTATCAACACCGAGTTGCCAGTCCGATCAAATTTTGCTAACGTTTCATATTTGAGTTTCAGTGTTTCTCAAATAACATCCCCCCACCCCACCTCTTAACCTTGTTTACCCAGCCCAGCCACAGAAGCGGAGTATATAATTTCTGATCAAGGCACAAAATCTTACCTTTTTTTCTTTCTTTCCAAATTTACCACTCTTTACTCCCTCTCCCCCTTCCATAACATTAACACTTAGTAATATATGCCACAATGTACTCAGATTTCACAGCTGGGCTCTAGCGATTGTATTACGGACTGGATTTCAGGAGATTAAAAAAGCATATATTCCCTCCCCCCCATCACAGCTTTGTTTTATTTTCCCCGTTCACTCTAGGAGAAAAAAAAGAAAGTCTTTGTTTTGCTTAAGAGTACTCTTCAAGGAACTTTATATGAAACGCTTTCACTTTCTCCAGCAGGATCTTCAGTTTCTCGGCGGGAGGGAGAATTGTCATCCTGGGGGAAAACAGGAAAAGGCATTTTAAACCTGTGTGGTGGAGGTGGCATCAAAAGAAGAAAAATAAGAGCAGACACACAGCAACTGCTGGTGTGATCCAAAGTAGAGTTAACACCTTTCTAGGCCCAATGACTTCCATGGGCTTTAAGGGGGTAACTTTGCTTAGGATTGCTCCGTGTATCTCCAGCACCCCCTACTTGAGTGTTAAACAACCCTGTACCTGAAGTGGTACGTTCCTTCTCTTTGGCCAAAGCCACTGCCGGGAACCACACAGATCCCAGTTTCCTCCAGAAGTTTCATACAGTAGAACATGTCGGGAGCCATTTTGTGAACCTGAAGAGATAAAAGTAGACTGATGGGCGTTCTCGCCAGAGGAATCTAGGTGAAAGGCAAGCAGAAGTTTCTTCCCTTTCCTTTTATGAACAACTGTGTTCGAGTCCAATAGCACCTTACAGACCAACAAGATTCTGGGGTTTATAAGTATTCGCAGGGCTATTTTTGGGCAGGAACGCACAGGAACGGAGTTGTGGCTGGCTCCCGAGCTGGCCACGCCCAGCAGGAACTCATTAGCATAACAGGCCACACCCAACAGCAGAAACTCATTAGGATTGGCTGCATTAGGAGTGTGTGGCCTAACATGCAAAGGAGTTCCTGCTCCAAAAAAAGGCCCTGGGTTTTGACAACAAACAAGGTAAACAGAAGAAGAAGCGAAAGGTGGGTGTGGCTGGATGAGCACACTTCTGGTAACATGGGGGTGCGTCCTAATGTGCTAATGAGCTGTGCTGTCAGGGTTGTGGCCTAATATGCTAATGAGTTTCTCCTGTTGGGTGTGGCCTATTATGCTAATGAGTTTCTGCTGGGCTTTTTCTACAAAAAGAGCCCGGGGTATTCGAGATTTGATTGAGGGAGCTTTGAGTCTTGAAAGCTTGTGCCCTGCAAATCTTTTTTTTAATTATCTATGTGTGTGTGTGCATGTGCGCTTGCATGCCTGGAAGTCACGGCAACTTCTGGCGACCCCTAGTGGGGCTAGCACATTTCAGAGAGGTGGCTTTGATAATTACCTGCCTCTGCACCCCGACCCTGGTATTCCTTGGAGGTCTCCCTTCCAAGTACTTGCCAGGGTCGGCCCTACTTAGCTTCCGAGATCTGATGAGATCGGGCTTGCCTGGGCTATCCAGGTCAGGGCATACTCTGCAAATCTTGTTGGGTCTCTAAGGTTCTAGTGGACTAGAATCTAGCTGTTCTCCTGTAGACCAACGTGGCTATTCTCTGAAACTCTTGTGACTAGAGGTTTTAAGCGTACAAATCAATACAATAAAATAGAATAAAAATACATGGCAGAATGAAAGATCACTGTTTCTTCCCAACTATTTTTTTTTCTGCATTGGCTCTCAAATACTTGTTATTTGGTTTATTTATAGTACGCTTCCTCACTATAAAGCGGATTACACAGTGTGTCAGTGCAACCTCTAATAAGCAGTGTAATAGGACTAGGATCACACAAGTGGAAATAGTAGCTGTGATATGTTAAAACAGTGCAGAAAACGGTGGTGCATAAAGAGAAGACAATGCAGTGAGCAGTGTTCCTTCTAAGCTGAGTTAGTGTGAGCTCGCTCAGAGTTTTGTAGCCTCCGGCTCACACACTGTTTGTTTTAGCTCAGGAAGGTTGGCTCCAGAGCAAACTAATTTATGCAGGAGCCAAATCGCTCGCTCACAACTTTAATGCTAGTAGCTCACAAAGTAGAATTTTTGCTCACAAGACTCTACAGCTTGGAGGGAGCATTGGCAGTGAGTGCTATGTATAATATCCTGCTAATATGTTCTATACGCAGTGGTATAGTCCACAGTCCCCTTCCCTTCATTTAAGGCCTCTCCTGAACCATTCCATTATAATATAGCCCTGACATAACTTCTTTGCCAGGGCCTAAATGGAAGTTAAACGTTTTACCCATACATTGCAGTTTGGTTGCACCTAAGGTTGTCTCATTCTCTCCTCTGCTGCTACGCAGTTCTCACCTTTGCAGTCTCAATAGCTTTGGCAGGGATAAAGATCCGTGGGAAAGCATACATGGCTCCCTGAAGTGGATTGCAGTGGATGCCCGGTACTTGATTAAACATGTCTTCTGCGAGTTTGGCTTTCCTCGCCAGGTTGTTCAAGACGGACTCCTTTTCCTGTTTCAGAGAAGGGGAACAGAACAGACTCGCACAGAGGGCAAACGGACCGCACGGCGCAAAGTCACAGACATAAGTTCTGCGCCTCTTTATTCCTAGCAAGCGGCGCTCCCGCAAAGAGTCTGAATATAGCCTCTCTTTCCTCCATGGAATGAATCGTATGCATAAAATTCAGCCAAGCCTTGTGCAGAAATTAGAAAGAGAAGACAGACCCTATACTAGCAAGCTTACGATCTGTACTTATAGGGGAAGAAAGGGAAAGGATAAGAATGTTAGCAGGAAACAGTCAGACTGTAAACGCAAACCTATGACGTGGGGAAGATTATCATGCATAGTAGCTACACACGTTGTGCTACGTATGCACAGATCTGTGGAGGGTATGTGCGTGTCATATCATTTGACCAGAAGCACTATCCTCCCCCCCCCCATTATCTTCTCCAGCAACAGACAGTGCCTGGATGCTCTTGCAGACAGTACACTCCCATGGAGCACTGGAGGGGAACCGAAGGAGAAACACCTTCAGACCCCGACTGTTTCCCAGCCGTTGTTCCTCATTCCTTTGTTGTTGTTCAGTCGCACAGTCGAGTCCGACTCTTTGCGACCCCATGGACCAGATCCCGCCAGGCCTTCCGGTCTTCCGCCGTCCTCTGAAGTTTGCTCAATTTCATGCTCATTGCATCTATGACACTGTCTAACCATCTCATCCTTTGCCGTCCCCGTCTTCTTTGACCTTCAATCTTTCCCAGCATCAGGGTCTTCTCCAGTGAGTGCTCCCTTCTCATTTGGTGGCCAAAGTATTTGAGCTTCAGTTTCATTATCTGTCCTCTCAGGGAACAGTTTTAGGATTGACTGATTTGATCTCCTTGCAGTCCAAGGGACTCTCAAGAGTCTTCTCATTGCTACCATCTCAAAACTCATGACACCCTTTTCAAATAGCTCACGAGCCTGTGGGAGAGGGGCAGGGAAGGGTCAAACGTCAAACCATTTGAAAGACTGGCATCTGTGTCCACACAGCCAAATACAGGGCAGGTACGGGACTGAACACATCGGAAGAAAGCGTGGCCGAGCAGTAACTGGATCTTGAAACAGGCGGCTCACGGGCATGCCCAGGAACAGAAAGCCGCTGCCCAAAGCGGCAAGATTCCAGTCTACTAGCACCTTTAAAACCAGCAAGACTTCCAGGGTAGAAGCTTTTGAGAGTCAAAGCTCTGGTAAAGATCAGGCAAAGGAAGCCTGAACTCTTGAAAGTTCACACCCTGGAAATCTCATTGGTCTTTCAAGGGCTTTACTTCTGTGGGCCAAAGAGTGATTAACACTTGGAATTCACTGCCACAGGAGATGGTGACGGCTACAAGCATGGACGGCTTCAAAAGGGAATTAGATAGGCATATAGCATTCGAAAGTAGGGGTATCTGAATCTAACCTATAGTAGCTTACGCTCCTTAGACCTGGTAATTTAAATAATCAGAACAATGCTCCCAGTTGTTTATGGAACAAAGTTTAAAACCAGTAAACTAGACTTAACTCTAGATAATTTTATTTCTTTTAGTTCTGTTGTACTGTTTGTGTATACTTCTTTTTGAGTTATTTCAATTACATTATGTTCTGAGAGTGTGTTATACTTATTTCAAAGTAGTGTACTTAATTACAATACTTTGCTTATGTATTATACAGAAATACTTAAAAGTGTTAGATATCCTATTTGATTATGATAAGTTTGATCCCTCTGTAACTGTTTAACACTGTTTAATGCTTTTTAAATAATAAAATATTAAAAAAGAAAGAAAGTAGGGTATCTTGTTTTGAGCTCCTCCCATTAATGTCTTTGTCTCTGTTCGTACGTTTGTTTATTTTGTTTGATTTATGACTCACCCTCCCCTGCTACCTCAGGGCGAGTTACAACATATTATAATGACAAGCATAATTTAATATTAAAATAATTCTTCAAACCAGTTTTATTATGACTATGAGTAATCATAACAGTTAAAAAGACAGAAGAGGAGAAGAGACTGGATTTATACCCAGCCCTTCACTACCCAAAGAGTCTCAGAGCGGCTTACAATCTCCTTTCCCTTCCCCTCCCCACAACAGACACCCTGTGAGGTAGGCAGGGCTGAGA